CTGGAGAGGTTGGAGGTTAGACTTCATGGTGGCAGTCTCAGACAGACTGCTGGTAACCCCAGTGTCAGAGCTTGCTTGCCTTTGAGCAACCTCAGATCATCTTATTTCTGCAGAAAATCATTCTTCTCCAAGTTCCTTTTCAAGCCACCATCTTTTTGCAAATAGGTTGAAGTCATAGAATCAAAATTTTAGATGTTTGTTGTGTTACGGATATGTCCTACAGCTTTACTATCTGGGAATTTAAAATCAGTCTCCTCAGCAGTTCCACCAAGTCAGGATCCCTGTTCCCATTCTAAGGTGAGTAACTGGGGATTGGGAGATGACAGAACAAAATTAGGAGGCAGTGGGTCAGGAACCTCAACTAGTCATTTTCTCCCAGTCCAAAATCTTTCAGCAATGCCACAGGTTTGGTGGCATTTCTGTTCTCTGTCCATCAGCCAGCAAGGCTGACCTGTTCATGCTCGCCTTTCCTGCCTCCAGTTCTCCTAACACTGAGAGGTAAAGTCTGGGGTTGCCTCTGCATCCAGCTATATTGTGTCCAGTTCTCATGCTGGTCACAGAAGGTGCTGCAGGAAAGTCTCCTTCAGTCCCCCACGTCCACTCGAAGATGTGGCCGCCCAGATGAACAGAGGTAGGAAAAGGCACAACCCCATCATGCATCTGGTCTGTAGGGCACTGAGATCTGCTGGGCAGAATACCCAGGCTCCATGCTCAATGAGAAAGGTCAAGCTTGCTGCAGGGCTGGAAGACCTCCCAGTAGTGAATCTCTCACACATGGAATAGTTATCTTGGTCCTCACTACAGAGGAGGAATTCTTGGAAAAGTAACTGAAATGAAGAAATCTTCATTCTGTATTCAGTCAGAAGAACCATTGTCCTGTGGGAACCAGAAGATACACAGGTGGTGGAACACAGTTAGTGCAAAAATGAGATGTGTAGAGCCAGGGCAGCAAAACCCCAAAAAACCAAAGAAAAAAAACCTCTTTTCATTTCCCAAAGACCCATCCCTTTTCAGCACCAGCCCTCTGCTCTCCCCCTTCATTGCTAGAGACTGGAAGGTCTTCCCATGGGCTGCACTATGGATTCTCCCCCTTCCTCTCTTGCTTCCAACATCCCGTTGTCTGAGCTTTGTGACCCAGACTCTGCTGGGCCAGCCAGCTAGGCAGTAAAAGGAGATTGATGCCCTCTCCTCCAGGAAAATCCATCACTCTTTGGCTTGTAGGTCAGAAGGCTTCACCAGAGGCATTTCTGAGCAGCACTGTGCAAGCTAAAAATAAGCATAGCCAGAACCCAAATAGACGTGTGGATGTCAGAAATGAAGTGGTTTACTCCAGCCAGTCCCCAGGGCCCAGCACAGCCTCTGCCTCCCACACTCTGCCTGGTCTGCACCCTCCTCCCCAGAGCTTGGCCTCTAGCAGGGAGCTCCTGCCCTTCCCTTGGGAAGATAGTGTGATAAGGTTCTGGGATTATTGGGATAACAGAAAGTTGTCAGGCATTGAAGCAGGCAGAATGTGGAGGGTTGAGCATCTAGGGACAGGATGATTGGGTGGTCCTGGAGCAAAGAAGGATGGAGTGAAGTGAAGAACAGAAGCTCAGGAGTCATCCAACAAAAGAGCCCTTTCTTGGCCTCTTTTAAACTTTGGGGATTTGGAAGGCTACCCTCTGCATTCTTTTTATCATGTGTGAAAGAGGTATAAAACCACTGACTCTCAGGGTCATTATGAGAGTCAGTCTCAGACACATTGTAGGAGTGCGTGCACGCTACACCCTGTGCTTGACCTCTTTCCCTGCATGTCCAGAGAAGGAAGTGGCTCAGATGATATCTTAGGATCTGGAGTCTCCTGGCGATGGAGGGTTTTCTGTGTGGAAGTGATTTTCTTTATGAGTTTGACCCTAAGCCAGCCTTTCTCCAACCCTCTCCCTGGTTACCTGGTGAAATTTCTTGGTCCAGGAATAAGATCTCTTCTTGAGGAGGTCTTGGGGTGGAATGGAGTCTGTTTATTTTCCTCCTGTTTTCTCCTGACCTTTCTTAGAACTCACTAACCCACTCATGGGCAAGCACAGGGATGGGTCTCAAAGTCGCTTCAACCTGCAGACAGCTCGTATGAGCCAAAGCAACTTTATTCTGAGCCACTAGAGATTTCCTTGTCTCTAACAAAGATCCATTTGCACATTTGGGGATGATGATCTTGCCCATGAGGTTCTTCCTGCCAGCCTCTCTCCTGTACTTACAAAGAGTAGGTGAGTTCCTCACTGTTTTCTGTAATGGGGCCACCCGCCTCCATCTACATTCAAGGTGGCACTACAGCCACAGGGGCTCTGCGGGCACAGCCAGGCTCTGAGCTCTCAGCATGAGGAAAGAGGGATGGGGAACCTTTCCCTGGGTGTGCTCCCCTTGAATCTGGATCATCCGGGGGTTGTGATCCTCGCTGCTCACAGAGGTGGAGGAGAAGGAAGGTCCCTAGATGTGACTCGAGTACAGCAGGTGAGAAGTAGACGCAGCCTTTATGGAGCTCCCTTCTTTCTCACTTTATACTCACTGTTCTCAGAGTGAGAAGCTAGTGAAGCCTGAGTGTGGAGTGGGACGTAGGCACCCACGAGAATGCATTCTGTTGATTTGATTTGGTGGGGACGTCTCTCCAGAGCATCTAAGAAGGCCAGAGAGGCATCATGTCTGTTGGGCAGTTGAGGCACTGGGAGGAGACTGAGCTCAGCCCAGGGAGGGGAGCAGGGGATTGGAGGTGAGTGTAGGGGCCCTGAAGCGTGACTTAGTAGGCACCCATGAGACTTGTTAAGTCCAAACTCTGAAGGTGAACAGCTTCCTGCAGCTGGCTAATTCTTTGCTCCACAGAAAAGTCCTATTCAGTCATCCAGAAAGGTGCTTCCCACACCAACAGTGTCAGCATCCTCTGAGAACTTAGCAATGCCAATTCTCAGGCCACAACTGGACTTCTGGATTGGACTTTAGGGAGGGGGCTGCTGAGAAATCTGTTCTGACAAGTGGTCCAGGTGACTCAGGCCTGCTTGAGTATGAGGACCACTCTTCTGTGCAATGCAGATGGACTGTGGGCTGGGGTGGGGCCTGGGCCCTGGGAGGAGGCTCCCTCAAGGCACTGGTCTGCTTTGCCTTGTCCTTATGCCCCGGATTCCATGCCCATCTTGACCACTGGATGGGGTCCTGACTTGGCCTTCATTTCACCTTGCTGTAAAACAATATTAATAAGATGAAAGTGGAATTTTACTACATCTACACAGTGGAGGGCTTAAGCCTCTATAAACTTCTGTATGTAATGCTCAGGGGACCAGTAGGCACCCCTTGTACTGTCCTCCCCAGCCATTGCATAGACGAGGAATCTGAGGCCAAGATGTCCCACACAGTGAGCAAGCCCATGGAAGAGCCAGGTCTGGAGATCATTTCCTCTGGCCCTGGCCCTCACCAGCAGCCCTGCATGTTCCAAGCCTGGGGCTCAGCACCAAACAGCTGTAATCAGCAGCTCCAACTTCACTTCCAGGCCTTCCGGGTTCTCACCTTGCAGGAACCTGTGTGTCATCACAAGTCACCTGGGAATCATGAAGCCATGATGAGCTGATGGCCTCCCAGGAGAGGTGCTGACCTCCCATTTTGTCACAGTGGGAGACTCTTTAGATTTCTGTTTAAAGCCCCAAATCCCATTCAGAGGCTGGGAAACAGAGACAGAGGGTGGAAAGGAGGGAACCTATTTTTAATCCCCTCTTTGTAAAGACTGGGGCAAAGCTCCGCAGTGTGCGGTGGCCTCTTTGGAGCCCTGTGACTGGGGATAAACTGCTCCAGAAGCTGTTGGTTTGCAAAAAGAGAAGAAAACAAAAGACACAGGCTACCACTGTGTCTGCTCACATCCTTGCAAGACAGGTCACCCAGATACCCCAGAGTATCAAGAACTCTGATAGGAAAAAGCAATATTCCATGCACCCTACTTGGAAAGGAATCCTCAGTCCTGCCAAGATGCTAACCAAGAGCCTTCCAACCATGTCCGCCAGTCTCTGTCACATGACAGCTCACCTGTGGGGTCAGTCTGTCAAGGTCCTCCATCTTCAGCTTTTGTTTCCCAACAAGGTCATTTGAGACAATCCCCTCTCCTGGCTCTGCAAAGCTCTTCATAATGTTAATACAGGTATTTAATGGGCTTCTGTCTGTTGAACAATTAACGCAAAGGTCAGTGAGTAATCTACAGCTGCCCCTTTCATCGCCAGCCCCCACTCCTTGTATGATTCCTTGGTAGCATTTTTTCCAAAGAGCTGGGAGGGATGAGGTCACAGCTCTGCTTTCTCCTGGCAGACAGACTTTAATTAGGTTGCTAAATTAGTGGAGGCAGTGGCAGCCCTTCTCTGCACAGACTCTCATGCTGGGCTGTCTCTGAACTCACTATTTGTATTTTCAGTGAGAGGAGACATGGGAAAAGGAGAGGTTTTTCCCTGAGATAACTTTGAGCTGCTTATTAGTAGTTTCTTTCACAGGCCAAGATCTGTGTTGGGTTTGGTAGGAGAAAGAGAGAGAGAGAGAGAGAGAGAGAGAGAGAGAGAGAGAGAGAGAGAGAGAACACATTGGTGCTACTCCCATTTTACAGATGAGAGGAGATGGTGTCAGGATTTTAATTAATTTGCTAGATTAGAATCTGCATCTTAATAAAATTCCCAGGATTCAAGTGAACCATTCGTGTGGAACTGCTATGGCCTCTCACCTACAACTCGAGCTAGTTTGGACCACTCATGTGCACTAACTCCCACTGACTCTGTCTTCCCACTGAGGAAGTTGTGGATTCATGAGTGTATGGACTAGTCAGGGGCAGAGCTGAGCTTTGGTTTTGGGTCAGACCCTGAAGCCACAAAGTGAAGCCAGATTCCATACAATATAGCGAGCTAGCTTGGCTTTCCCTGCCACAGACTTCCAAGTACCCAAGGTCCCTTACTGTCCTTGCAGACACCCATGACTGACTCTTCTGTTGCCTTTCTGTTCCCCTGCAGATGTGCAGCACATCAAGAGGAGGGACATTGTGTTGAAGCGAGAGCTGGGCGAGGGAGCCTTTGGAAAGGTTTTCTTGGCCGAGTGCTACAACCTCAGCCCAACCAAGGACAAGATGCTTGTGGCTGTGAAGGTAAATCCTGGAGGGTGTGGGCAGCAGGGAGGGGGTAGATCAAGGCCCCCAGATGTGAAGCATTAGGCTCACCCACTCTTGACTCAAGAAGATGGTGCAAAATCAGCTTTCTCAAATGCATTTAGGGTTCCTTGCTTGCTCCAAGATCGGTAAAACTTCTAATGGATCAAAACCAATTTCCACTGCCATGAGAGGTCAAAGATTATGGAAGTCTGCACCTGGGGAACAAGACATGATGGTAAAAGACCATAGGCTTGCACCAGAGGTTCCAGATCAACCACCACCATGCTCTACACACACTGTGAAAGATGCTTGACTGTTTCACAGGAGCAGGGGTAGGTGATGGGAGGCTGCCCGTGGAGGCCTGGGGTCCACTGCCCAAGGACACCAGACCTTGAACTCAAGTTGAATTGTCTAGGGCAACACAGGAGGGGCTTTTTTCTGCTAATTGCCTCCTTCACCTTTGCTCCAGCAGTGATAAGCTTCTCTTACAGACTGGTTCTAAGAAGGGCTTTGGCCATGGTTGGCACAAACAAGAGGCCTACAGGCTCCTGGTGTCCCCATGGATCCCTGTAGGTCTATTCTGGTGTCAGAAGCATTAGCAACCTCTACAGCTGGAGCTTGAAGGCCTCTGAGCCCATATGCTGTTCTGAGATCAGGGCTGGTGCTGGGACAGGGGCAAGATCAGGGCCACCTCTGAGGAATTGCTCTTGAGCCTCGGAAGGGTCTCAGCCTTAGCACAGTGGCATCTGAGTACATGAAAAAGGCAGTTTCATGAAACAAGGACAATCATTAGCCTTCTATAAGGCAATACTTAGTTCTTTATTTTCTGGAACAGAGGTCAGCAATGTATACCTGTTTTTGTAAGATATTTGCTGGAAAGGATCCAACCTTGCTGGTTGATATATGGTTCACACTGCTTTCCCACAACATGGGCAGAGTTGAGTAGTCAAAAAGACTTTTGGGCTTTTGAGTCAGGCAGTGGATGAGGGCAGGGACTTACAGGGCCATGGCCTAGCAAGGGAATCAGAGAGCCTGGGTGCAAATCTCAGCTTCATCACTGGCCAACTGTGTGACCCCGGGCAGGACATTTATCGTCTTTGGGCTTCAGTTTTCTAATCTGCGTAATAGGAATTAAAATATCTCTTCCTCAGAATGCTGATGACTGTATAATTGGTATGAAATCCTTAGTGCTCAGGACATAGAAAATGCTCGACAAAACGCAGCTGCTATTTGTTTTCATCATAATCTTTATCATTGATGCTGTTGTTGCTGAATGTGGTGAGACCAGCACACAACATATGGACCTCGAACTGGCTATGTAGTGCAGGACACATTAAGCTCTTTCTCCAAAGAGCCAGAAAGTCAATATTTAGTGTCTGAGGACTATACACTGTCCACTGCAACTACTCAACTCTGTTTATGTTATGGGAAAGAAGCATAAAAAAAATTTAGCCAATAAAAGCAGCCACTTTCCAAAAGCACTTTTTATAAAACTGGTGTAGATTGCTGACCTCTTTTAGAAGATAAAGAAAAGCTAGAGTACTGCCCCGTAACAGTGCTTGTCCTTGCTGCAGTTCTATGAATCAGTATGCTCATTGTGTCTCCGGTGACATGGGTGGCCAGAGAAGCAAGGGTATCTTTAAACCACTTGAATCAGGGATGTGGAAATGTTTCTAATTTTGTCCATAAACTGAGAAGTGGCCGTATCCTTGCACTTTTATTGTGTAGGATGACGCTAATCTACTGGGTGTTCCAGCATCCATCTGGGGATTGGCAAGTGAGCCAGTTTTACAATTTGAGCAGGAAATTAGATGATGACCGAAACCCCAGGAAACATTTCCCCTAGTGGTCTGGCACTAGTGGTGGTACCCAGACTGGATAATGCAAAAAATCTGTTGCTGTTTGCATCCTTGGAAAAGGATTTCCTTCTCTCCTTGGGCCTGGGAACCTTGAAGAGATGAGCACTCTGGGAATTTACATCATTTTCCACCCACTGAATCTGCCCAGTGAGCAGCCCCGGATGTTCCCACCACCTTTCCCAGTAAAGGGCAGAAGTGGCCTTTACTGTTCCTTGTCATTTTCAAAGCTTTCTCTTTCATGAAGTCACCTTCCTTTGACCAATATTTATGCAAGGACATTTGGTACTTTTGCAGAACACTAGCAAATATAACCCACAATTAGGTTTTACTTAAAATTGTGATTTTAAATCAATTGGCAAGAATATTTTTGCCCAGAAGATGCTATGGTAGAAACCAAGGAGTGGAAACACAGGCTCTCTTTTTATAGTGCTGTGGCCCACTGGGAAGCCATGGTGCATGTCTTGTAAAAGATATGGGGAAGAGGACAAGACAGTGTTTGTGCACACATGAGGTATGAGTATGACATTAAATATAGGTGCTCGTTGATGTATGATGAAGCCATATCCTAGTAAATCCAGTGTAAGTTGAAAAGATCCTTAGTCAAAATATATCGAATCCAACTAACCTACTCAGTACCTAGCTTAGCCATACAGTACACTGACAGTACTCCTGATGGCCCTGTGATTGCATGGTTGCCTATGAATGGTGGGTCCCACTGCCACTCCCCGTTATCATCAGTGAGTGACCAGTCACATTTGTTAATCCAGGACAAGATCAAAATTCAATGTAAGGCATTTATTCCATGCATGTCCTTCCAACCATTGTAAAGTTGAAAAATTATAAGTAGAACCATTATAAGTCCAGGACGATGTGTAATAGAATTCACGAAATTTTTAAAATTGATAATGCAATTTATAAATAATCATTTAACAAATAATACCTTGCATTGGTCTCAAGCCCAGGTATACTCCTGCCTTTCCAAGTACAGGAACAAGGTTCCCTTCCTTAATGCTTTTCCTGTTTTCCTTCTCTATTTTTCCTTGTTCTGTTTTGCGTGAATCTCAGCACTCATTTACCACGAGTTCTTCTTGTGGTTTTATCTGTTCTAGAGTGTCTTATGTCTAAGGAAGTTTTTGTTTTAAATTTGATGATCATAGAGTCTATTTCCAGGATATCTAATTGGTCTATAATTTTTATGTTATCTTAATTTTATTTCTTCCTGTTCTTGCTACATACCTCATTTTTAAAAAACTATCTCTTTATTCTCTTGGTCCATTTACTTATTTAAAAATCTTTATAAGCCAATTTGTCTCACATGTATTGATCCGTATGAAATTCACATTCTGGTTATTGACAAATTTAATCACGCGGATTTAGCATCACATTCTCCAATAAGTCAGAACTTTAGCTTTTTTTTTTTTTTTTTTTTTTGCGTTTGGGTTTTGAAGGGCTATTTTGTTTTGGTGTTCAGTGTTGCTGATTTCCTGTTGTAGATTTTTGGTTGTGTGTTTAGTTTTATTTTCTAGGCATTGAATCCAGAATCTTTGCACTGAACTACATTCTCAGCCCTTTTATATTTCTTTATTTTGAGATAAGGTCTCATTAATTCCCTAAATTGCTTAGGCTTAGTTCAAACCTGTGATCTTCCTACTTCAGTCCCTTACAGTGCTGGAGTTGGCATGTGTGTCCCCATGCCTGGCTAGTTATAGTTATTTTAAACTGGAGCAAAAACTTAAAACATTTGTAAAACAATCTGAGGATAGAATCTCATATAATGTTTATTTTCTCCATGTCTGGTAAAGCTTTCAGCCATCGATCCTTAACAGGTTTTCCCAAAGCATTCACTTTAAGATCCATAAAATCCACCCACTTTTTACTTGCATGTCACTGGTTTCTATAATCTGTCAAGTGACTACATTAACAGCTTAAACTGTCATCAGTGAATTTGGGGACGTGAGAACCAGCATTTGTTCTACCATGTCTGGGGCAGAAGTACCTCTCTGGTCTCTAACTAGCAGGGGGTGGCCAGACTCTTATGGAGTGGTCCATATTTTTTGCAGAGGTAATGAATGATACTAGCTCATCTGTAGATATAGTTGAAGGCTTTTTTGACCAAAAGAACAGTAAGTGCAAAGGCCCTGAGAAAGGCAAAAGCTTAGAGCATACAAAGGGCAGAAACACCCGGGAGACTGAAATACCATGCTTAAGGGGAGAAGGGGTGGAAAGAAATGTGGAGACCAGATATTAAGCCATGTTAGAGAGTCTGGATTTTACCTAAAAACAATAAGGAGTCAATGAAGAGTTTTAATCTATGTGGACAAATGAGAAAGGGCCCACCTGTGTGATAAGTACCCATCTTCCTCTCTGTAGACTTGTTTTCAAATCTCACAGAGGTGAAGGGACAGGGACTTGTGAGAGACTAAAAGAAAAGTAGTTTTTTAAAGGGCTTGGAAAGAGAGAGAGAGAGAGAGAGAGAGAGAGAGAGAGAGAGAGAGAGAGAGAGAGAGTCTGAATCTCCAGGGGTCTGAACCTTTGGGAGAGTATCTGATCTATCTATCTATCTATCTATCTATCTATCTATCTATCTATCTATCTATCTATAATGAAATTGGCTTCAGGGCAGTGAGAAATCTGAAGTGAACATCCCTTGAGATACTTTCTCCCAACAAGAGAAAGAACAGAAGGCAGCAGACTCCTTGAGCGGGACCAGAGAAACCTGGAGCTGGTGGCTTGGGAAGAGCTGGGCTGCTGAGCAGTGGCACTGTTGCCGTCCAGCCTGCACATGCAGGTTCAGAGATCTGATGCCCATAGAGGGAAAGAACAGGAGGGGAAGTGTCTTCCAGATTTGGAGAAAAAAGAGGAAGCCAAGGATTGCTAATTCCAGCTTTGCTCTTTGCCTGTGCCTATGGCTCAGGGCATCCCTGGCTTCAACAACTGCTTGGCAAGACCCTGCGCTTCCACCAGCAGCTGGTGTTTTTGATGAACACCAGTTCTGTCTCAGGCCTGACGGATGGCCCAATTTGCAGTTTCCCAGTCATGAAGAAAGTATTGGTTGTGGACTCCCTGTGAGGGCCAAGAGAACCTTTGGCCCAGATCTCCTTCTCATTATTCTCCTGTCATCTCTGTCCCGGTTGCATCAATTCATGGAGATTATGGCCACTGCAGTTTGCAGCCCCAGTGGCGATACTCCACACCTTAACAGTGACATGAGAACTTCAGGCCTGACCCACCAGCTGGAAAACTGGGTACACAGCCAGAGAAGGGGTGCAGAAGACCAAGAGCAACAGAGTTGCTTTGTGCTCCATTTCTCAAATGAGGAACTCAAGTTCTCCTTGCAGTAGAAGATGCCAGCCTGGGGACACAGGCTGGGGCTGCTCCAGAGCTGAGAAAGGAAATATCTCTTGGTCGCCTTAGCATCCAGACTGAGGGAGAGAATGATTTAAAGAGATGGAGAGAGGCCATTTGGCTGGTCCCAAATTTGATCTACTTTTCCCTCTCATAAATCTAGTGTCCACATAAATCTTTATATTCTCCCATCCTGCCCATGCTGAGTTCCCCCTTTTCTGTGTTTTTTCTTCTTCTTCATGAAAATAAATACTTCACTCTCAGGCATCCTATACCCATGCTCCAGCCTGTGTAGCTCAGAGCTGTGCCAGGGGCTGGTCACTGTGAGAGGCTGTCTCGTACCCTGAATCTCTGGCTTGCATGTCTTCATGCTGGTGGTGGGAAGGACACAACAGCTACTTCTTTCTTCATGGGTGGCCTCCCGGAGCTGTAGGGGACAACGTGTACTATTCAGTCTGATAGGAATCAACAAGGGGCTAGTAAAATTATTCTCTCACTTCAACTCTCCCCTCTGTCCGTCTGCATTCCTGCCCCCCTTGCTGAGCCCAGCTGCTCTGCTGTTAGCCCACATCTGCACCTTTTCCCACTCTCTCTCCTACACTTGCACATCTTTCCATTCCTCTCCCCATCATTCTCTGGGGTATTGGTCTAGTGACTGATTCATCTGATAAGTTAGTTCAAACAGGTATGCCAGATAGGAAATTATCCTCAACTCCAGATCCAAGCTGTTCCCTGTTGCATGATCTTTAGCAAGCCGCTTCCCTATTCCCAGCTCAGTTTTCTCATCTGTAAAATGGGGAGGTTATGCTAGAATAACAGCTCAAGTTTTGTCACTAGTGCCATGTAATCAATACTTTTTTGGCTAAATATTCTAAATTTTAACAAAAAGGAAGATGTTGGTTGAGGCTTGGGTGGGGCTTGAGGCAGGGCAGGATTTTGGGACACCATAAAGCTCACCAGGACCACTGCTCTAATCATTCTAACTTTCTATAAGTTAAGATGTGTCAGAGTGGGCTGATTCCCAAAGAGGATGGGACTCAGTTTCTTTCACTTCAACTCTCCCCTTTGTCTGCCTCCACAAAGGAACACAGATGAAGGAGTAGGTAACATCTAGAGCCCTTCCTATGCCAAGAGTCTGCTCTCTCTAGTGAGTGCCTGTGACTGAGGTCTGATGTACCTCCATGCTGTCACTGGGCTGGAATCCAGAGGAGCTTGCAGATTTCAACTCACAGGGCTGCAGAGGGATGAGAAAGTTCTCAGGCTAAGGAGTCTGCTCAGCACTTGCACACAGAGGTCTGTCGGCTTGAATAACCAGAAAGCCAGATGCCAGCAGAGAGGGTAAACCAATATCCGTACTGTCTAGAGTTTTGCTAACCTGACAGTGATGAGGGAATTTCATAATCATTTCCTTATTGTCTGGTTTCATGTCTGCAGAGGGTACTAAGCTGTGCGGGAGGCTTTCCCTGGCAGAGTGTCCTTTCGTTTTCACAGATCATGGTCCATGCCGGCCAGCACGGCTCTTTCCTAGGACAGTGCCCTGTCCACAGTCCTACAGGTGTACTCACAGTATGAAGTTTGGGTGCCACTCCTGGTGATTGATAATCCACACTGGCAGCCTACACTTTTCCTGGGTGTGTTGCTCTCTTTGGTCCAGGAAGTAGCCTGGCCTGCACTTGTCTCTCACACTGGCTCTGCCAACCCCAAATAACTGAACTGTGATATCCCAGTGGCTGTAAGACACCCACATCCTCATCCTCTGCACTCTGTCATCCTCTACCTGTTCCTGGGTACATCACAGGCTTCTTTCCTCCTGTTAGCTCCCATTCCCACAGTTACCACCCCCTTACCTCCAGTGCTTCCTCCAAACATTTGATCAAAGAACGTCCTACCTTCTAGAAGCCAAATTGCTCAGTGTTTTCTGAAAATACTGACTTTTTCAACATTGAAAATCAAGAGGTTGAGAGTACAAAGGAAGACTTTGGTACATTGTCTGCCTGATCTCTTAGGCTGTGGGGGTGTGATAATTTACAAAGGTGAAGTCATTAGAGCAGTGGTGTTAACACTCTTTTAACAGTGGGACCATTTCTTTAGGGGAAGACATAGTGCAGAGTCTCTACCAGTCCTTCCATCTCCTGCCCTGGTCTCCTCACTCTCACTCAGTTCAGAGGTGTTGTTTGAGGCAGAAGCCTGGAGCTCTGGGTTGGGCAGTTTGAAATCACTGCCAATATATGCAATATGGGAGTCAGAAAGTAGATTTTTTTTTCCTCATAGGATAAGAATGCTGAAAAAGGAAGGGGCCATGCCTTGAAATATGGGTTAATTTTACCATCTTTAAGTTTGTTTCAAATCTTATTTGTTCGGAACTCAGTAACATATGGTGACTGATTTCACCAAGACAGAAGGTTGCTAAGAGCTGATATCATGCTTTCAGGCCTTGAAGGACCCCACCCTGGCTGCCCGGAAGGATTTCCAGAGGGAGGCTGAGCTGCTCACCAACCTGCAGCATGAGCACATCGTCAAGTTCTATGGTGTGTGTGGTGACGGAGACCCCCTCATCATGGTCTTTGAGTACATGAAGCATGGAGACCTGAACAAGTTCCTCAGGTGAGCCAGGGATGATGTTCTTCTCCTGTAAATCCTTGGGTTTTCTCTGCAGTCACAGGTTGTCTTCTGCACTCAATTGTGAGGATCAGATACACAAAGCACCCTTTCAGCCTTATGCATTATCACCTTAGCATCTGGGTGCAGGCCTTTGTCCCTAGATTAAGAAACCTAGAACCTTCTTCTTGGTTCTTTTTGTGTGTGTGTGGTACCAGGGATCGAACTCAGGATCTTGTGCTTGCCAGGCAAGCACTTATTCCACTGAGCTATCTACCTCTCTTCTTGGTTCTGATGTGGGCTGAGAAAAGTTTGAGCTAGAATGGGTTCCATGGAGAATCTTGGGAGCTGTCCATCTCATGCCTCACAAATTCAAGGTTCCAGAGTTCCAGATAGCTTCCCTCATTGTGCCTTAAATCTCTCACCTATAAAGTAAGAAGAGTATCTTATAGCCTTCCTGGTAGCTTTCTTGCGAAAGACTTTTTGATGATGTGCAGTAAGGTACCAGGTTAAAAACTCATCAGAAGGCACAGATGGTTGAAAAAAAGAGAGCAGATTTTCCTGGGTAAATTCTACAACTAGGTTGTCCAGTATAGTGGCCAGTATGTGGCATTTTGAATATAGATTTACACTAATTAAAGTTAAATAAATGGGGCATTTCCTTGATCTCACTGGCCCTATTTCAGGAGTTGGGTAGGCACATGTAGCTAGGGATTACCTTGTTTAGAGGGAATAGTCTAGATATGTTCATAATTTAAATATTCTATTTGGATAACCTTGTTCTAGAGAGTCAATTCATTGTCTCCAGGTATAGACCCGGAGAAAGATTATCTGGATTTTGAGAGACTCAGGGAAGAACTTGTGAAAGACTGGAGTCCCAGGCAGAAGTTCTGGACAGAGTTGCAAAGCTGGATCTACTGTCTTCAGAGAAGACAACATCTGATTCGTAGGGTAGAGTTTGGACTTCTTTGGGGCAGTCTTCCACAGAAGACTCCCGAAGCTTGTCCACATGTGGGGTGGCCTCATGTGAGGTTCTCAGGAGCTGATATCATCTTGAGCAGATTGAACACTCAGGCCTTGACATGTCAAGTATGATGATCTCTGCTATAGCACTGCGTGAATCCCACTGAATTCAGTGACTAAGAATGAGATTTCCAGTATGGGTTATAGAAGGCTCTCGCCTATGCTCCAAAAACAAATGACCACTCCTTTAAAGTGGAGCATTTAATGCAGTGCTGTAGTTTTCAGTGAGAATGGAAAGAACTGATACCAAGTTATACACTAGAGGAGTCTTTGGAACTCTGCTTGGGGACTAGATTTTTAAAACAAACAAACAAACAAACAAACAAAAAAAGAAAACAGTCCTTGGGGAATTAAAATATCTGTAGCATGTTCTATACCTTCCAAGCCTGCATTCACAAGGAAATGGATTCCTTTTCTCGAGAATAAAGACCTTAACATAAAACACTCTTGGGTTCATATCCCAGCTGATTTGTTACATCTTAGCTGCAACTAGGGCACATTATAAAACCTTTTCTTTCTTAAAAAAAACGCAACTATTAGTAACTGCTTCAAGAGCTGTTGTCATGTTTACTGACCACACATGTGTTACACTGAGATGAGTTTTGCCTGGTAGTTACTGTGAAAGCTACTATTAATAAAATTATTGCTATTTGATGAGAACTATGAGCCATAGTAGTTTGTAATCCAGGAAATTTTTTTTCTCAATACTTGAGATCTCCTTCTGGTGATTCCGTTCCTCCGATGTCAGAGGGATGGGTCCCAACTTTCACCACACCCTCTCCATAGATCCAGCAGCGCTGCCAGCATGGGTAAAGAGAGTCGCTGGGTATCTCCTTCTACCATGGACGTACCCTATATAAATAAAGAGGAAGAAAAAGGAACATAAAGGAGAGACAGAATGAAAAGTGAGAGTAAAGACAAGAGATAGGAAAAATGGAAAAGAAGAAAAAGAAAAGATAGAGCAAAAAAAAAAAAAAATCCAAAAAATAAACCCCAAACAAAACGAAACAAAACAAAAACAAAAAACACAGAAGAGACTACAGAAACAGAAGAGCCATGTCTGTATCAGATGTAACAGATAGTGCGAGGAAGGCTTGCGTGTCAGCACAGCTCTGCAAGGCTTCCTGACACGCTTAGGGCCTCTGTGTGTCTCCCCAGAGTCCCTTCCTAGGGACAACTTGGCCATGCCTATTCAAATCAAGGCCCAGTAGTCTTCCTGGGACATTTTTCTTTTCTGCTGCATAACTGGCTCACCAGATTCCCAGATGATGCTGTTGTTCTAGGATCGCCAAGCAAGACCCACCTCTTCCAGAACATCCCAGTGCAGCACAATTTGAGCAACAGGTTATGCCAACTGTCTGGGCACCTGGCTTCCCGCTGCTCTTCTAAGCACAGGCTCTGGGACCTGAGGCCAGGCCTACCTGCTCTCACCTCTCACAGCTGGTGGTGTGTGGAGGTGGCCTGGCTGAGCTCTCCTGGGACCCAGGACAGGTCTTGTCTGCCCATCACTTCCTTGCTGGTGGGTACAGCAGTTCTCCTTCCAAATCGCACAGGAGGCAGAGCCCACTGGAGATAATAAAATGAGTGCACTCGTATTTAATGGTGCCTTTCAGTGGAAATTGGAGAAGCAGTAAAACAGGCCCTGTGCACCAGGGCTGCTTGGCCCACCACGTCATAAACAAGGCCCTGGGGCGTGGTTATGTCTCATTGGGCTTTCTGGAGGAAAGAGTGAACACTAAAAGAGACGGATATGACAGCACAAGGTGTTAGGATAACAAATCCCGACCTTGATTTGAGATAGGGGCTTGTGGGCACTCTCCAGGCTTCTGCTTCAGAAGCAGCGGGCTCTCCTTCCTCTCCTGCTGCTACTGTGACTTCCCCAGTCCTATGAAGTGCGGTGGTGCCGCGGGAAGCGTGGATTGCAGGAGGCCTGCTGCTCACTGTGTGGGTGTGGGCTGCCCCTTAACTGAGTCAGCACTGGAAGAGGTGGAACTAGCTAATGAGGAGCTCTGCCCAATCAGATTCCCCCCAGGGGGCGGGGCCTGGCAATAACCTTCCACAGTTCCTTGGGGACTCCTTTTGAAAGTTTGCCTTTACATCTGATGTGACTCTACATTCTGTTTCCTGATTACCCACATATCCATTGTGGGTTCTTGGGCACTTTGGGTGAATGATATCATCATTTTGTACCTCAGTTTCTTTATTTCAAGATTAAGGTGGAGGGATTAACTGGATATATTTAAAACAATCAGAACGGGCAGGACGGCGCTTGGCACACAGTAAGGGCTACATGGGGGTTCGTTTTTATTTTATTAGTTATTCTATAATAAATAACACTTGGGAAAACCATAGGTAGCAACAAAATACTAAAAAAAAAAAATAAGTTTATTACTGTCCCTTTCCTTTTGAGTATGTCTGCTTTCATTTTAGTTGGCATGCTGGTTGTAGAACTCCATCCTCCCCCCACCCCACACACACAGTATAAGTTTTGGTAAAGAGAAATAGGCCGTAGGCAACATGGAAAAGGGAATTTCCTTCACTTCTATGGCGCATCCCACAGTACTAGGAAACAAAAAAGTCTTTCCCGTCTATGTCCTGAATTCTCTCTGCTCCCTCTCTCCTTCCCACCTCCTTGAAGGGCCCACGGGCCAGATGCGATGATCCTTGTGGATGGGCAGCCACGCCAGGCCAAGGGCGAGCTGGGGCTCTCTCAGATGCTCCACATCGCCAGTCAGATCGCCTCCGGCATGGTGTACCTGGCCTCCCAGCATTTTGTGCACCGGGACCTGGCCACGAGGAACTGCCTGGTTGGAGCCAACCTGCTGGTGAAGATTGGAGACTTTGGCATGTCCAGAGATGTCTACAGCACCGATTACTACAGGGTAAGGTGACTTTCCCAGCTGCAGAACTCAGTGGCAGAGCTAGCACCTTGCTTGCATGTCTTTGTCATTGTCCATTAACCCTGTCACTGTGGTGCACATATTCTCATGCTTGCCCAGACAGGCACTCAACAGTTACCCTTCAGCTGCTCGTGCATCTTGACATACCTGTTTGTTACTGTCTCTACAAGCCACCTGCCTTTCCTCTGGACACTTGGCTGGACTGTATTCATACATTCCGATGACATGTGCATCGTGTTCTTACATTGATGTTCATTTTTTCATGCAAACAGAATTGTGTGTGTGTATATATATATATATATATATATATATGCATATGCCTGAACATGCACCCACACAAACCCAACATGGTGCTTATTTTAACATCTTCCCACCTCATCACTGATCTAACCTTGCCCAGGTCACATTTTTATTCTCTGGAATTATCTTATGAGCATGTGACAGTAATCATGTTTCTGAAGGAAGGTCTTGATGAAAAGTAGAGCCCAAAGTAAACTAGCAAAAATAGTGAATGCATTGCTGAACAGAAAATCTTAAAGTCTTTGGAATGGTGAAGAAATAAAGCATTTCATAAGTATCTAGCTTTGGAGAAACAATAGGGTAGATTTTAGAAAAAAAAAATTCTGATTGTGGGTAGAGCTACCCGATTCATTTTCCCTCCGAGTTGTCTGCTTTCTATTAATAGGGTCTTATTTTACTCCCAGGATCCTTTTCCCCTTAGTTTCTGGGAACTTCCCATGGATCACTGAGTAGCTCTGACTCGTATTCTTGTCAGGGAAAGGGTGAGTGGTCACAAATGTCACTTTTTCCAGGAAGAGAAAATGTGATGTGAGTGCAACTTGAGATCCAGTGATGAGATAATATTTGTAAATGGATAGGTGGGTGCTTCTAAGATACAGGTCCCTGAGCTCTGGGCTACAGGCCAGCACTGGACTGTGGACTGTTAGGAGTGGGGCCACACAGCTGGAAGTGAGCAGTGCTTGAGAGAGCGAGGCTTCATCTGTATTTGCATCTGCTCTTCTTGCTCACATCGCTGCCTGGGCTTCGCCTCTTGTCTGATCACCGGGGCATCAGATTCTCACACAAGCACAAAGCCTACTGTGAACAGGGATGTAGGCAGCATGCCCCTTCACACCAGTCTGTAATGATACCTTCCCAGCCCTACCTACGCCTCACCTCTGGATCTAGAGAAAAATTGTCTGTCCTGGATCCTGTCTCAGTCATCCAAGATGTTGGGGACTACAGCTGTACAAGATGAAAGATTTACTGTGGGGTTATAAACTGGGGAAGGAATATGGGCAGGTGATGGTATGAAGAGAGCGATGGACAAAGGTAGTGGGGTGTTGTTGTCTATTTGGGCTACTGTGAACATGCCCTAAGCTGGGATGCTTACAGTAATAATGGTTTGGAGCCTGGAAGGATCAAGGCGCTGGCAAGCTTCTGTGTCAAGTGAGGGCCCGTTTCCTGCTTCTGATACAGTGTTCTTCTCACAGTGCCTCCACACAACAGAAAGCGCAGAGAGTCTCACCGAGCCTTCTTTGGAAAGGCACTAATCCTCTTCCTGACAACTCCACCTTCATGATCAAGTCGCCTCTCCACACCCCACCCCCAGCCTGGCATTCAGGGTCAGCATTTGAACTTTTAGGGAACATAGCTATTCAGTCTGTATTAGGGGAATGGCAGCCAATTGTCTGATTTTGTCCAGAGAAAACAAATGGTCCTGTGTGATCCAAGGAGCCCACTGTAACTGTCCTATTTGTCAGAGCTTGGTAGACCAGGAGGCTGGGAATTGGGTGCTGGCATGTGTATGCAGAGCAGCTATCAGCATGCACCTGATGGCTCTGCCTAAACAAGATCACTCAGGTGTTAAAACCGATCATTCAAGGAATTTCCTTTTAGCAGTGGCCTGGAGAAAAGGGGACTGTTTGAGAGATGCCTTTTGTAGCTACAGAGTGATTTGTTTATGGTGCAGTGAAAAGCTGGCAAATGATGCACCATCATGGGCATACCTGAAGCAAAGTAGACCAAAGCTGGAGAAAGTGGCAGGTGCATGGCAGAGTGGGCAGCTTCTGTAGTGGCTTCTGTAGCAGAGAAGAGAGAGCACCATGGGGCAAGAGCCACAGACTGATGTCCAGCACAGACCTGCCAGGCAGTAATCCAAGTGGGGTCTTTCTGTAGCATCTAGAGCATTTTTTCCAGTTAGAGCCAGAAGAAGCATCGGTGTGGTTACTGGGGCATCCATGGGTCATAGATTTCTTAGTGGCAACCTGGATCTGGCACCATTTAATTGCGTTTCCACTGTGTAATGAGGTTTGCTAGTTTTTCTGACTGAGCTCAGATTTATGCTGGTGTTGATGACAGAAAGGACGGGCTCTCTGTTTTTTGGTTTTGTTTTCTTTCTCTGCATGAATTAGGTATTTAATCATGCTGAAGTGATCTCTACTGGCTTCAGCAGGACCTTGGGAAACCGTGTTTGATCTGAGTGTGAAAACTGGGCCCTCAGAGTGACTTCTAGGCTTGCACTTAATAGTTCACAGCCCTGGCTTGAAGAGAAGAACCAAGTAAACAAGCAAGGCAAATCCAAATGGTCTTTTTTGCTCTCACTTCAATAGCTGTAAGCTGTTGCTCTTTACTCCTGGGAAAGATTCGAAGAGTCACCCCACCTCACTTGCGTGGCTGCCGGAGCAGAGTGAAGGAAGGGAAAGGAAGTGGGGAGCATTGACACTCCAGATGCCTTCAGTTCTTTCACCGTGAGTGCTAAGCCAGATGGGCCCAGCTGGCCTGAAAACGTATGCCTCCGGCTGTGAGGTGGTATGAGCAAAGAAAGGGCAGCAAGTGGAGTCACGTCTCAGCATTTGGAGGACTCTGCTGCTAGTGTGGAAGTAATAGATTCTCCTTACGATATAATATACATGCAAAAGAGCGGCTTATATCATACCTTCATATTCGGTTCCTGGTTCTAGTGTAGACACAGCTCCCCCTCTCCCACTCTCCTGTAAATGTGCTTGAACTCACAGTTCTGTGCCTCGGAGTCTTCATATCCAGATTGGAAGACATTGGGAAGATAAGGGGATTCTTGGATTTGGGCATGATTTCATCTGTGCTCACTTTCCGACCCTTGATCATCATTAGCTGTCGTGGACCTCAATGCTGATTCTCCACCTTGCATTCCATATTCTTACTTTATTGTTGTTATTTATTTGGTACAGGGACTCGCTATAAAGGTCAGACTCAGAGTGATCTTCCTGTCTCGGCCTCCCCAGCACTGGGATTACAGGGGTATGCCGCCATACCCGATTTCAGTGGCTGAAGTTTCAGCATGAGGCTGGCATGGCATGCCATACCAGGAATCGTAACTGGATTCTTGTGCTTACCAGGCAGGCACTTAGACTGCTGAGCTATCTCCTCAGCCCCCTGTATTCTTATTTTATGAGGACAAAAATATTTACTCAACAGAGTTTTGTTGATGTTAGCAAGTTAATGTATATAAGAAGTCAGTAATACATTATGTACAGGATAATCTATGGTTTTTATTTTCCTCTTCTGTGCCTTTTGCCCACCCAAGACAAGAGCACTGTGGGGCTAATCTTATTTCCAGACACAATTGCTTGGTCAGTGTCTTAGTTACTCTTCTCTTGTTGCTGGGACAAATACCCGACACCCAAAATAAAGGAAGGAAATGTTTATTTAGCTCACGGCTACTGGAGGTTTCTGTCCATATTCAGCTGGCTCCAAGGCAGAGCAGCACAGAGCAGAAAGCAACCTTTTATGGTGGTGGCAAAGAGCAAAAGCACAAGGTAGGAGTAGCAGCGGCTCAAGCCTAGCTTCTCTTCTCTCCTTACATTGTAAAGCAAATTACCTGCCCCAGAGCAAGTGCAGCATCCCCACCCACAATAATCAATCACAAACTCCAGAAGCTGCCCCAAGACTGCATGAGGCTTTTTGGGGGGACAACTATACACAAACCATAACAGTCAGGAAGACTCCTCTTTACCACTGGGAAAATACCCCGGAACACACAGTTGGTCCAAAGGAGTAGGTCTTTAAGTTGACCAACTCAGGATAATTTTCTTATTAAGATTTTGACTTCCATAGAAATACTAGGTCATGAGAACTTGTTTCTTCTTCTGGCCAATATTTAGAGGGTCTCACTCCAGAGTCTTAGAGCTGAGCAAGTTTGGTTGGTTTATGCAAGACTTTGTTGTGCAGTACACTGGTTGAGGCCATGAGGAGCACGGTGATTTTTTTTTTTTTCCTGAGGATTGGTGATCACATTGAGAACAAAAACACTGTGAAAGATTTTCTCTACAAACTGACACCCATGGAATACATTTGGACCTCTCTACTACTATTGATGACTGGCCTAAGGATTTACTTTCTTCTCATGTCTAATAGAGATAAAAGAAAATTCAGGTGTGTGTTTGTATGTGTATGTGTGTGTGTGCGCACACACACACGCACACCTGCTCAGTGCATATTCTAGGGTATAAACAGGAGAGCAGGAAGAACGCTAGAGATAAACCACTCCTTATAGTCTCCCTTTTTCATTTTTCATTTCTTGAAACAAAGAGGCACCATCTGGCTCATGCATAAGTAGCATGCAAACGATTTACAAAGGTGAACTGCCAAATTTCCTGTTACACATTTAGATAGAGAAAACAAACATCACTGCATCAAAGCCCCAGAGCAATTTGTTCTGTCTTCTTAAGAAGATGCCCAGTGACAGACAGCTCTTCTTCATGTGGATCTCTGCCTCAGTGCTTCCAAGATTTCCTCTTCAACTGGCTTCTGCGAGGGTGACTTCTGGCACTGTGAAGCCTTCTTCAGAACATCAAAGAACACTGAGAGACTTGGTGATCAAATTGAGAATAAAGAAAAGTTTAGAGCACCTTGAAGGGAAGGATGTTGAATCCAGAATGAAAATGTCTTCAGATGTTCTAATTAAGGGGGAGGTGATATGCTGAGATCTGGGAGGAATGGGA